CACACCACTATTTAAGTGTTTTTTATTTTGGCTCTTGCCAAATTATATTTAATTATATATAAATTATATTTAATCCTGTCTTTAATTCTGTCTGTAATTAAGTCAAATAGCAGTAAACAACGGATAGAACGAACAAACAATTAATAAAATGTTAAATCAAAAACAACACAAGAAAGCCCTGAAATTAGTATTTCCACCACCAGAGAAAAAACCCAGTACCTTCTGCTCGATTACATATACAGGCAAAATAATAACAAAAATAGCCAAACACATAAAAAAGAAAGGAATAACACCAGCTGTCCGAACAAATAACAACCTAGGCAAATATATTAAAAATAACAAGAGCCAAAATAAAAAACACTTAAATAGTGGTGTGTAACAAACTTCAATGTGGCGACTGCCCAAAAACTTACATCGGTCAAACTGGTAGAAACTTTAATAAACGAATAGCAGAACATAAAACGGCTTTCAATAACAGAAAAACAGATTCGACATACGCACTTTCACCTTCTAGATCATAATCATTCTTTTAATGACAAATTTAAAATTCTTCACATTCAAAAGCTATCTTTATTAGAATCTATGGAAATCAACAAATTAAAAAACACAGATATAATTCTGAATGACCAACTTGAGACAAACAGTTTTCCCCTCCTCAACCTATTTCATTAGAGACTATACATTGTAAACGTATGCCAAAAATAGATCACTTGAGAAAGACAATCAGCCGAAACATCTGTAGTGATAATAGTTCAAATAAATTTTGTGGAAGTTTGAAAACAAAGTTTTCAGTGTTTTATTGTTACATAAAATGAATTTCCATCAAGTAACGGTCGAATTTATCAATTATTTAAAAATTTGTTGTTCCAACCAGTCAAATACTAAATTGTCTAAAATTTTCGTCTCCAAAAGGATCAAGAGAGGGTGGTCCACAACATTTTAACTACAGATTCCGCATATTTCGTTGGCTGTTATTTAGATGTTATCAAAAGCAATTTTATATTTTTTGTTAATTTTTTTTCAACGTTTCGGCAGGATATTCATGTCTTTTTCAAGAATTATTATTAATTAATAAAGACTTTATCAAAAAACCTAATAGGATTAAAAAAAATGACTTGTCAAACATGTAAAAGTTCACTAAAGAGGATTATTCTATGAAAAGAATTCCAAAAAAGTTCGAAAAAAAAATTTCCAAAATTGTAAAACTTAATTACAAAAACATTACTCCAAAGTATTCCATTATTCCAAAGTATGAAAAATGCCTCGGAACAGAAAAAAACCAGTTAACGAGTTTGTGCAGACCAAGGGAGTACCTATGGAGACATAACAACAGCATTTTACGGAGCTATATGATGCTGAAGAAACGTTGAATATAAACGAAGACAAAGCAGATATAAGTGCTACAATCAATAACGAAAAAGTAGAAGCAAAGATCAAGAAGCTAAAAAACGGAAAATCACCTAGAAAACATGGTATACCCAATAAACTCTTAACAATATGGAGGCCCTGAACTTCCAAGTAAACTGTCACAACTATTTAAACAAATATTAAACGAGACAGAAACACCAGAGGAAATGGCATAAAAGTATCACAATCCCCATATTTAAAAAATAAAATGTAATGTTTGTTTCGTCCCTTCTAAGTGTTTTATGTTCGTGTGTGTTTAAATTGTCCTTAATGGTTTTAACTTTAATATTTTTATATACTTGACTTTGCAATAATCTACCATTTTGCCAATAGAACTTTATCAAAGAAATTTGATAATTACAAGTTGAAAGAATTGCACACCCACACAATTTGTACATCTAATCTTATTCATTGTCATAAAACTGTCACCTTCATAAAATAAATACTCAATAAATAACACATTTCATAAATATATCTCTTGAATAAGTATAAATAACTTTTAAATAATACAATGGTATATAACATCACTTTCATCTAACAAACAATCACATTACACCTATCTCTACTTCATTGGATCAAATCTATCTCCTCAAGAACTTCCCGTTTATTGTCAAACAACTACAATAGCAGACTTAAGTTCTCCATTCAACAATACATGATAGTTTCAACCATGTTCTACCATCCATCAATTAATAAAGTACCGGCATGTAAGTAATGTTTTATTTATTTGCTCATTTATTAATTTATTACAATCTAATATACTATTTTATAACAATTTGTGGGTCTTACCTTGTCTGTTAAAACTTTTTATACCTTTTTATTCATTTTGAAAAAACCACAGACATGTAATATTGGCATAATTATTGTAATTTTATAACATCTACTTTGTTTATCTTTATTAGACAACACCCTAATATGGGTTTATTATTATTTCAGCATTTATTTAACTTTGTATCGAGACCTGAAGATGCTTTGCATATTGTAGAAAGCGAAACCGGTCGTCTGATAGTTAAATTAAATTGATTGTGAGTAAGTCTTATTTATTATTTCTTTCCCTACAACGAAGAAACTTTTCACGAATATTCTTAAGGACAAATTGAAAAGGCAAATCACTAATGCTGAAGAACAACAAAGTTTTACAAGAGGGCGGTCTATAACAGATGCAGTATCAGTAACAGAAAATAAAACACCGACCAACATAACAAAGATGGTCCATAACAATGTAATCAAAGTTAGAGCAAGAGACCAATTTACTGAAAATATTCCAATACTGGTAGGAATTAGACAAAGCGACAGTTTAAGCCCCTTCTTGTTTAACCTACTCATGGGCAAAATTATAAACAAAGTAACATCTCTCAATATCTGATGGGCAACAAAAGAATTGGTATGATGACCCAGGAAAGGACCTAAGGAGTCAGATCAATAAAGCATCCGCATTGCGGAATGTCTGCGCGAAATAGTCTGGTCAAATCCGTATATGCGCACAGATAGTAAAATTAGAATCTACAAGACTTGCATACCTCCGATCATGACATATGGCATAGAAGTGCGCGAAGATACCAAAAAAAAAACGAAACAGATGCTAAGGGTTGCCGAAATGAAAACCCTAAGAACAATGGTAGGCCAAACAAGAAGAGACAGGGTGAGAAATACAAACGTTAGAGAGCAGTGCAAAATTCAACATATTGTGAGATGGGGAAGGCAGCGTAAGATGATACATGATGTGGTACAATCATGTAAGAGGAATGGATAAGAATAAACTCCCAAAAATTGCCTTATAACACAACCCACCCGGTTCAAGACCTCCCGGAAGACCATCTAAACGATGGAGGGATAGTTGGCAATCTACCTCCCAGGAAATTAACCAGAGGCAGGTACACGAAAGATCTCCAAGAAGTATAAGAAGAAGAAGAAGAAAAATGTATATAATTTAAAAAGTTCACCGAACCGACTGCAGGAAATATACGAGGTTTTGGTTGTTAAGGTCCATAAAACTCAAAAAACTTTTCAGATATTTGGCCGGGTCAAAGTCCCTAATAAGATACTCTTTTACCTTATTTCTTTGGATTATAATTTGACAGAGAAAATGTCCAAAAAGATACGAGTATGTTTGGTAAACAAAGAAAAAACATGTTTCTGAAGAACTCAAATAATAATATTTGTTATTATTATAGCAATAAAACTCTTTTGAATAAGCAGAGTGGAAGAAAGTCATTAAAACTTTTTCTGAACAACCAACAGACTTCTCTATATTTAAAACCAGTTCAGATGCAAAAAAACCTTTCACTCTGAATATTGTTTCGAATATAATGTCTTTTCTTGACTAATAGCAGTCTCGTTATTTTCTCAGTCGAGAATGATTAAAATTCCTGTCTGCGGGCAGTACATGTAAGTACTTCAAGTACTTTTGTGCATAAATAAGTGTTCTTATAATTTACAATCTACCTTATTTATGTCAATGTGTACTCATTTACGGATGAATACCTGCTGGTTTTACGCTCTTGACTTCGTGAAGAGTAAATAATAATTTCAATAAGAAAAAATAGTGATATTATAAATAGAGGAGCGGTTGAATGATATTAAGAATCATAATAGTTGTTTTTAGTACATGTGTGTAGTAAATTAATTGTCTATTCTACAATAGTTTGTTCAATAACTAAACAATATTAAAAATTATTTGAATTTCCCATGTCACTAAATTAAAGACTATACGATCAGCATGACATGCCTTCTTCCAGATGTATCATATCTTCTGCGCCTGTCAGATTTTCACATTCAAACTATTCAAAACAATCTACCCTTGCATTAAATCACTCCGTCTTTGTCATCTCAAAAAGAAGTCAAAACTCCCTCTTTGGCATCAAATAGAAGCAGATTGCAATTAACTTTATTTTTATTAAATAGTTACCTCAGTTAAATTCATTGTTAGTGCATAAAATTTATGAGTACCTGTTATTACAATTGGTACACAACAAATCGCCAGTTTTTTTGTAACAATATGGCGTAAATGCCGGTCCGAAAAATTACAGGGTTGTCCGGATATACAGCTAGCTTTTTTGTTCTCCACATCTCATTTGTTTTATTTTAAAAACACTTAATATGAACATTTATGTTTTTTATTATCATTAAAAAGGGTGATTTGTTGGCAATTTGGATACTGCTATTTATTTATGTAAATAATAAAACAAAATTATTTCTACCGGAAATCACATTTTAATTAATCTATTTTCAATTTCACTACAATATTAATAATCCGCAATTTTGCTACCTATGAGTCGCTGGTCCTTCGAGAATTGTATTTATTTTGAATCTACCAAATGTAGGAAGGTATAAATATGGCTTTTTTCATAGTTGCCTTTAAATTATCGAACCAGCTACCCCAGCCTTTCTTTACAATGTGAAACATACGTTTTTGTCCTACATTATTTTCAGTTATATTGTGACAAAATCTTAACGTTCTCAATATGTACATGGAAGAAAAACAAAAATATATTTTATTAAAGTTATAAACGTGTTTATTTAACTACTTGTGTTAATTGTTAATAAAACAATGATACTAAGACTGAACACAGCCATGTTTAAAAAAATATTACTTACAGTGTATCTTCTCTGTGAATCTTGTTAACATGGTCCACAGCTACGCTATGTCGAATTGGAGGAACTCGAACATTTTCTAAAAGTTAAAAATATATCGTTAAGTTTACAAAGAAATTTAATATTGAGAGAATACTTAATTTTTTTAATACCAGAGTATTTATTACTCCGGTTGTCAGAGATGAAAATGTCACTGAACCTCTAGAAATCGTACGAACAAGTTGAATTTTGCAGATAATGCCATCTTTACCATCTTAAAAAAGACGCAAAAAAGTTTATTACTTCCTCCACCGGGCTTTTCCCTAAAACGTCCTCCATCGGGAGAAAACATCAATTTACCAAGAATCTGTATCATCAGCATCATTGGTGCTACAGCCCTATAAAACAGTCTCGACCTTCCAAGTCTATTACGCCAGGCAGTTCTATCCATTTGCCAACTGCTGCCGTTTTGCTACGCCTATTTTTCTAAAATCCTCATCTCACCATCCCTCCATCTGAGTTTTGGCCTACCCCTGCTTCGACTTTCCACAGGTTGTAAGATAAAGATTCTTCTAGGATGGTTGTTCTGCTGTGATTTTGCCAGATGTCTTGCCCCATCTTAGTCTTCGTATTTTTATAAGAGATACTACGTCATTACCATCAAATATATATTTATATCTGCGATATATTTCGTAGTTGTACCTCCTTTTTCAAACACCATTTTCACAGATGCCACCGAATAGTTCTTCTCAGGATTTTTCGTTCAAATATAAGCAGGAGGTTTTCATCTGCCTTGGAAATGGTCCATGTCTCCGATCCATATGTCAACACTGGTTGTATAAGGGTTTATTTTTGTTTTTTGGCTTAAGTTTCTGCTTCATATGTCTACTCAATCCAAAATAGCATTTGTTTGCTAGGATTATTCTTCGTTGATTTTTTCTTCCGTCATGACGTTCTCCTTGGTGATCAGAGAGCCTAAGTATATGAATTTGTCCACCACTTCAAAGGTAGAGTTATCAACCGTGAATTGATGGCCGATGTTTCTGGCTCTATTGTTGGGTGTTGATGCCATTATCTTAGTTTTCTCCTCATTTATTTCCAGACCCATATTTTTTAGGCATTTGACAAGGTGGTATACATTTCTTCTAGTTTGCGTGTTGTGCGGGCAACTAGGTCAACATCATCTGCATATGCCAAAATTTGGGATGATTTATTAAAAATGTTTCCTCTGTTGTCTATTTGGGCATCCCTAACCGCCTTTTCCAGAGCTATGTTGAAAAGGAGACACGCCAGCGCATCTCCCTGTCGCAGCCCAACATGCGTTTCAAATGCCTGTGATTGTTCGCCCTGTATTTCGACTTTGCAAACAACTTTACGCATTGTAGCCTTAACCAATCTTATTAGTTTATCGGGGATGTTGAATTCATCCATGGCTTCTTACAATTTATTTTTTAGGACACTATCATAGGCCGATTTAAAATCTACGAAAAGATTGTATGTATCGATATTGAATTCATTGGTTTTTTCCAGTATTTGCCCTAGCACAAAGATCTGGTCTGTTGTTGATCGACCAGGCCAAAAACCAAATTGATTCTCGCCAAGTAACGTAATGGTTCGATAGTTAGATGGGTCATTTTTGCCCCCTTTTTTGTGTATAGGCATCGTTATATTTGATTTCCATTCCTTTGGTATGAATTTCATTTCAAGGATCTTTTGGAATAATTTGTTTATGTTGTTATACTCATTAATATCGTTTTTACTTCCCTTTACCATCTTCCACGTTTTTCGTTGTGCACCGTAGAAATCACGTTCCATTTCTTTTGTGAACATAGACCAGTATTCCCTCTTACTAATTACTTATTTACGAATTGACATTATTCCATTATGTGCTGGTAATTTGTAAGTGTCTTATTACTTTGATAGTGAATGCTCTACATAAAACTGAAAGACAAGAAGAACAATGGTTGGATAAGGATCACAACTAAAGTAAAAGATCTTCTTCTTCTTCTTTTTTGTCAACCATTTTCCATCCACTCCTGAATGTAGGTCTCTCTCAATTGCTTCCATCTTTCTCTATCTTGCGCCAATCTAATCCACTGTTTGCCTACCACTGCTCTTATGTCATCTACCCATCTTTTTTTGAGGTCTTCCCATGCTTCTTGTTGTCGTCCTTGGTCTCCATTCTAGAATTATCCGTGTCCACCTGTTGTCATTATATCCGGCAACGTGACCTGCCAGAGCGCATTCATTTTTGTAATTTCTTCCACAATATCCCTAATCTTTCATTCTACGTAAAAGATACAAGACAAAAAATAACTACACTTAAATGGACACTTTCGGGCCAAAACAGTAGATAGGTGGATCCATAGATCCATGAAAGACCAAATCAATCATTGGATACCATAGGAATAGAATCATGGAAGAGGGATAAAAAATAAAAGGGATACAGATAAAGATTGAAAGATAGACAGATAAGGTCAAAGAATATGTAGGAACAAACATAAAATATGGACGACAATAGACAAGGAAAGAGGGAAATGGAAAATATGACGGGAAGACATTTGTCCAATAATGGACTGCGAATGTTAAATAAATAAAGTTCTAGTCACGTTACTACCTAACTAGAATAAAAACAAATTCACCTATTCGTAAAGTAAAGCAAAGGAAATCCTAAAATTTCTGTGCAATAAAGTTTGAGCAATCTTTGATGTCGTGCTTTCGTAGGCACGTAACACTTTAATCATTAAATCTACTACTTACCGTGATACTTGGCCCGTAGACAAGTGAGACTACTGATGATCCTGGCCCTGTGCGACGATTTCTTTACTCCCAACTCCTTGATATCCTGCTCAGACATCTCCAGCAGATCCTCCACTCCTTGGTAATTCTGGAAGAGCTCCTGGTACTCTTCCAGCTCGAGGTCCCGCAACCAGACGGAAACATCCTTGTGTTTCTTAGCAGGTACGAAGGGATTTTCTTTTTTCAATCTAGACTTACTGGAGCGAAGAGGTAAGGAACCGAATTTGCTCCAGGTAATATCTGAAAAAATAGATATTTATGAAAAAATAAGTAAGGACTATGAATTTTTTCTGCTAAAAGGAAAAAAAATTAAAGCAAAAGTACTAAGACAGGTCTCGATACCATAAAGAGAATGATAATATGATTTTTGATAAAGATTTCTTTTATATCCGCTTATTTGAAAATATGTTTAGCAAAACGGCACTTGAACCGTAACAAATATTTGAAAAGCTAATGCAAAGAGAGGTTTCAATTAATCCTCATGCCAATATTAATATGATATTGTGACCATTTATAGTATTACAGCCTGAAGCAAATGATGACAGAAAACCATAAATTTAGTTTTATTAACATTTACACCGGGACTAATTTCTCAACCTTTCCTATTAATAACCTGTAATAGACACTGAAGGTCTAATAAGTTATCAGGAGAGATTATCGTAACGTGAAACAGAATTCTTCATAGTTCGTGTAGTTCGAACAATTTGCCAAGGCAGATTATGTCAAACCTGTATTCGTAAGTAATTAGTCTGAAACGTATGAATGTTAGGATTTTGCTTGAACAAATTGATTAACAAATTACTGCAAATCTAATTAAAATCATAAGAAACTAGAGCTTTTTGGGCATCGACGGTAGAACTATCGATATTCTTTACCGATATTTGAAAAATGCATAAATATTATATTATCTTGTTATAAATAAAACCCTGAGTCATCCAGAAGTGGAAAAACTTTATGAAGACATTTCAAGACGTATATCAGAAAATAAAACCAATATCACAATAATAGGAGTTGACTTCAACGCAAAAATAGGTTAAAAAACAGGCGATGAAGATACTTATATAGGAAAGTATGGTTTAGGTACTAAAAATGAAAGACACCTATCCTATAGAAAAAATTTTAATATACCTGACACCTACAGAGAAGAAATCTATTGTGCATTCTAACAAATAAAAAAAGCTGCAGGGAATGATGAAGTTTTACCAGATGATGTTAAACGCAACTAAAAAGTGAACTGGTAAATCTATTTAGCAGTTGCCTAACAAAAACACTTTCTAATCATACACTTTCTTCCAGTTATCTACAGTTTATTTGGCAAATTCCTGTTCTATCATCATTTTTATAGCTCATATCTTAAAATTAACATTTTGTTTACAATTGCATGTGTTATTTACGGCTTTTCCGTTTTAAAACCGTTTCTGTAGGTGTTAAATCTCGATGATATGGTGGAAGTTTCAAGGAAATATGTCCACATTCTTGCAGTAACTAGATGAAGTTTTTTCCAGATAATAGATTTTATTATATAGGTTGGTTTGTTATATTTTTATGTCTTGGAAAACTATTTGTCCTCTATATTCAGTTTGTTATGGTATAAATAATTTTCGCTTGATTTGGCGGAATCTGGAATCCCGACTAGAAATTTTTTTGTGAAAGAACTTTATATCTAGAATAATCTCGACAGAAACGTGACTTTCTTTAAGTATACTCCGATATAGTATAGTTTTAGAGTTATGCAGTATTTTATGGTGTCAATGAGTTCCTAGAAGCAGCAAGCAAGAAGTAATTATAGTTATATACGTTATATAAGTGCATTTTATAGTTATATAGAACCTTATGGAGACATTTCTACAAAAATCTATCTGCAAATCTCATCTGCGCTATATTTTTGACCTGTAAGCTTAGCTTCATATTTTATCCCAAATGGTTACTCAGTCGAGTTTTCAGTTCATACTTTTATATTGTATATGAAATGTATTTATATTTTATTAGAAAATTTTTTATATTGCAATATCATTGTAACAATTTTTCATACAAATGAATTTGATCAATTGGAAATAAGAATTCTTTATTAGTACTTTTGATGCAATAATTGCTTAATCATATACATCTGTTTTTATTTATATTATCAGTCGCTTACGTTTTTTGTCTAAAGTTTTATATTTATAATTACATTTATAACGTAATTCTACATATTTTTTGTAAATAGGTTTTTCCATATATATAGTCCAGTCCGTCAGAGATTTGACTAAATTTCGTCCTAAAATTATAGGAGTAAGCTGAATTTTGCTGTAAAATGTCAATATTGTGATTTAAAAAAAAAAAAAAGATGCAAAAATGTTTGCTTCTTCTTAACCTTGGGCTTCCTATTAAACATCGATTTATAGTCCTACCAGATATCTAAGAGATAGTCCTACCGATTATTTATTATCGATAAGTATCTACCGCAAGGCAGCGGGGGATCGCCTCTGGACAAGAATCGTATTTTTATTTTCCGATTTTGCATTACTTATTCGATTGTTAGGTGTGTTTAAAACCCGGTCTTTATCATTGTCTACTAAAGTTGCAAACATATTTACATCACTTCTTCTTCTTAACGCGCCCCATCCCTAAGATCATTGGCGATCATTATGGCCCATTTGACTCTCTCTGCATCCATTCTAAAAAGTTCTATTGAAGTTTTCCCACTCCATTGTCTCAGATTCTTCAAACAGGACGTTCTCCCCGGTCCTCTTTTGCCTTTCACCTTCCCTTGTATGACCAGCTGCATCAATTCGTATTTCTCGTTTCTTAGTATGTGACCAAAGTAGCTCATTTTTATTTTCTTTATAGTGTTGAGTATTTCTTTATCTTTTTTCATTCTTCGTAGCGTTTTCGCATTTGTTATGTGTTGTGTCCAAGATATTTTCCACATTCTTCGATAACACCACATTTCAAAGTTAATGAGTCTTTTCTCTGTCGCCTCTGTAATTGTCCAGACTTCAACTCCATACAACCTGACAGAGAACACGTAGCATCTCAATACTCTAGTTCTATTTTCAATATTGAGTTTTCCATTGCATAATATTGCTTTCATCTTCAGCGCTTCTAGCTATCTCAATACGCCGTTTTATTTCCATACTTCTATCCCTTACATCCCATAGTTAGCAACCTAAGTACTGATATCTGTGCACCTTTCCTAAAAGTTTTCCTTTAGCATAAACACTGTCTTCCTCAATCTTGTTCTTGCTTACCACCCTGATTTTTGGTTGATTTGTATTCAGTGCCATTCCATCCCTTTTGCAGTATTGGGTAATGCGATCAACCAAGATCTGTCGTCCTTCTCTGCTGTCCACTAATAGTATTGTGTCATTTGCATATCTAAGATTATTCAGAAGTGCTCCGTTAATAAATATGCCTTCATTTACGTCGTCTAATGCCTCTTTAAACAATTCTTTTGAATACATATTAAAAAGTAAAGGGGAATGCACACATCCTGTCTTACTCCGCGATTTATAGGTATTTCTTTCGATTTTTGTTGGTTTAATCGTATTATGGCTTTCTGATATCGGCATAGATTACTACTGATTCTCAAGTCTTCGTCATCTAATTCTGTGTTTTGCAGTATTTTTGCCATTCTTCGGTGTTGTACTTTGTCGACTAGACATATGAATACGTCGCAATTGATATCTCGACATCGTTCGATTAGTGTTTGTACAGTAAATAAAGCTTCTCTGGTGCCAGAGACTTTTCTGAATCCCAATTGGTTCTCAGTTAGTCTATCATCGAGTTTTTTATAGATACGTTCGTGTTGTATCACTCATAAGAACACTTTTAGAATATGGAAATATTTAGATTATTTACATACACTACATTCACATATTTACAAAACTTTCATCATCATCATCATCATTCCTCAACCTCTTGCATCCACTGTTGGATATAGGTCTCCTCCATGTTCTTCCACTGTTCTCTATCTTGCGCCTTCTGTATCCAATTTCCGACTGTTTTTCTCAAGTCGTCCATCCATCTTTTTGGTGGTCTGCCTCGGTGTCTTTTGTCTTCTCTAGGTCTCCATCTTCTCTAGGTCTTACAAAACTTTATCATGTCTAAATAGAATACAAAAAGAACAGGGGCAGAAATATTTTAGAAAATTATTTTCAAAATTGAAGTGTGTCTAAAAGCTGGTTTTATACCGTTATCAACTAAAATTTAAAATATTTACATAAATTACATATACATAGAAAGTTTACCATTTATAAATAAAATTCAAAAAGTGTTTACATTTAAAAAAAAATTACATGGACAAGTCAGTTTCACTATCACTGTTGTTATCTAGATCTATAACAATTGTTTCTTTGATCAGCCTATCTGTATTTTTCCAGGTATCATTGGTTATTTTTTCCATTTCTAATTCAATTAGACGAACCACAGATCAATTTAGTGTAAGCGAAACATTACTTCTTCCTTACCGATTGCTTTTAGCTTATGCCATATGTGTTCAATTGGATTAAATATACAATAGTAAGGAGAAAGTCTTAATACTGTATGACCTATTTCTTCCGCCAAACTGTCGCAATAATAATGTTTTCTGATGGAAAATGATTTTAAAGTTTCAACTAATTGTTTTTTAGAATAATTATCTTCATAATATAGATCATTTTCCAGCATAATACTCCTGAATTCTAAGTTTGCAGTCATTAGAACATGGAACTTTATTCGGTCTACGACTGTGGTAGCTGGCATTGTCCATCACAATTACACTGTTTGGTGCTATATTTGGCAATATACTTCGTTGAAATCCAGTTCTCAATTAATTCTGTCATGGTGTTATCTTGATAGTTAACACGGGAGTCCTTAATGTTTTTGCATGACAAGGTTAAAGCATTAGGTATATAACCATTTTTTTTCCTGCATGGATTATTGTACTACGTTTTTCTTTATTTGATGAAGCTTTTGTTGTATAGCGACAAGAGCAATCTGCCCAACCACATGTTGGAACGTCATGGGTGTCAATCCACGTCCCATCCAGATAATTTCTCTTTCACTTTCTCTGTATTTATTAATTTGAATCAAAAATTCCGTCCTCCATATTTGTAGACAAGCAAATTCCATAATCACTTGTCGTTTATCGATCGTTTTTATTTTAAAGCAGTTTTTTAGCAAACATTGCCTTAATGTCTCAATAGAGCCCTTGATTCATGTGTCAATGATGGTTTTTTAACGTGTGGATTATCTATTATTCATACATGTTATAAATTTTTCTTCTAATGATGTCCATATCACTCCGGTCTAGTTTCCTAAACATACCAGCGTCTTTTCTTTTTCTTCTACTTACTATCGGTTGTTTGTTATTGACCACACTGTCTTCATTGATCTTTGTGTTGAGAGTGCCGCTTCCTTCACGGCATTAAATTATTTACAATTTACAGATATATGGATGCAAATATTTTTGAAGAATGGTTTGAAGAAAATTGGGTTAAAAAAATTGAAGTGACCATCCATAATAGTGTTGGATAATGCATCCTACCACTCAAGATTAGAATAGAGATTTCCTTCAAGCAACTGGACAAAAGAAGAAATAAAGTTGTGGTTGACAGACAAGAAAATTTATCATAGTGACATATTTTTAAAAGTCGATTTACTTCAAAGGTGTGGAGAGCACAAAATTCAAAAGAAAGAAAACCAAATGGCTTTTAAATATGGCCATGAAGTTCTTCAACTTCCGTCCTACCATTGCCACTATAATGACGCTAGCGTTCTTAGTTTATGGAAAGAATCGCTAGAACAAATAAAGACAGAACAATGGCAAAATTGTATTAGGCATACGGTAGACATTATCGTTCAATCTTTTAATTAATTAATTATTCGGATAGACAATTCAGATAGTGACGACTCTGATAGTGAATAGGACAAATCGTTTGCTAAAAAGAAGTAACAAAAAAGTGTTTCGGGAATTGAATTCGGACTTTGTGATGTGTTTTAGTTAAAGGATAAAGTACCTTCGGTCTAATTACTGGACTGCATACTCTCAATAGCTTTGGTATTAATTACTGGACTACACGTGTTTAAACATTTTGTTTTGCTGAAAACTCGGAAGTGATTTAGTGCCAATTAGTTTCAAGGTTATATTTAATACATTGTCTGCAGAAAGTGAAGTATTGGATGAATTTTATTCAAATTTGGACATACCAGCAACTTGGCAAGTATTTTCCAATTTTACTGCATGCAAAACCATTCGTATAATTTTCACTCTACGCAAAATAAAGACTTAGATCTTGATGAACACTTGATGTCGACAAATAATTTCGAGTATTCGAAATATTCCGTCCCACTTCTCATAACGCGCCCTGTATATACATATTAGATTCATTTTATTTGCCTTTGTTACAGTACAACCCAATATTACTTATAAATATTTTTACTTTTCAAGCGATCGAAATTAAATATTAACGTCCCACTGTTTAAGGCCCACTGATCATATTTTAATTGCATATCGGTCGTCATAGGGTTAAACCGACTTTAGTTCCCAAATCTTTACTTCAGTTTTATTTCTTTAAATTTGTTGCTGGATCTACGTCTTGTTCATATTCCACTGTCTTTTACAGGCATGCAAATTGGCTGATTCAATCTTAAAGTTTTCTGGTGATCACTCTCATGCATTATGTCTCTTTATTTCCTTCACCCAAGCATTTTGAATATTCTGTTTTTCTTGTTTCCAGAGTTTTAGTAATAGCAGAATATCTAATTGGGTTAATTTTTAACCCAAATTCTGGTCCTCCTTTTTACCGATCCAGGTTTATTGTACTTTAAAATATATTTTTCTCAACATATTGCAAAGCGTTTGGTTGCAATATATGTATACGATAATAAGAAAACAATAAGCAATATATCTAGTAAACACAATATTAATCTTTACTGCGTATCTATTAAGATAATACTCACGAGCACCAATTCTCCTATTAAAAGCGGTAACCTTTTCCATAATAACAATCACTCACTATTTAAAAATCACAATTGTCACTGCATTGTTTCGTCACGACCACTTAACCTGCAATTTTTTAATTAATTTGAACCTAATCTGTTTTTGTTTTTTTTTACGAGCCACCTACATAAGCTGTAGTTAAATTGTTATGATACGAACGTCACAATTATGATCCGGACAATTGTTTGATCAGCCTATCAAGGTGGCTATGGCTCCGAATAGAGATAAATTATATTCATACAATCCACGTTGAGTCACTCTTGAAACTAAAGATAACTTTATATTATATTATTAATCGATTCTCTGAAACGTATTGATTTTTCTTTAAAGCCGTTCTTATCTGGAAGATCGACAACTGCAACTCACAATTCTAAAAATATGTAATACTAATATTGTGCAATTTCGTTAATTAATTTAAATTGTATTAATATAATTAATACAATTATATAAATTTTAATGTCAGAACTCATAAATCGCGATCGCTATCTTGCAACAGTGAATAATATGTATAATTCGTTATTGAACAGCATATGCACATAGATAAGAATGTTGGCAAATATGTAAATATTATTAGAAACCCCCCTGCTTTCTAAATTTATAATAAAATGTTCTAGACTTGATCCACACAAAAAATTCAAGCAACTAATCAGCACAAACATCCGTTGTTTGCTGGAAAACTTGGCTCCCAGTGTCTGAAAAAGTTAAAGATCGGGAAAAAATTATAAATTTCATGACCTAAGACAAATAATAATCATTTATTTTAAATACTACTTGTTCGAAATTCTTTCAAAAATATTCAATAAAATATTTATCTATTCATAATCTTATGTCTGGTTAATCTATAAATGGTTGAAGAATCTACGTGATTGGTATCTATGCAGATCGATTGATTTATTTAAAGCAGCGCGCTACAAAGAAATCTTATTTCTATCATTATGGTTTGGAAATGACCCGGCCGCTAATTTCAGAGCAGTATACCAACGCTTATACTTGCACCATACACAAACAAGGAGATATCTTTGAATGCTCTAACTACAGAGGAATTACTAATATTTTCCACACTACTATGTCACCGTATGGCACCATATGCAGATAGTACGAAAATACCAGGCTGGTTTTAGAGGTGGTAAATCGACAATTCATCAGATTGCAATCCTGAAAACAATATTTTGGAAAAAACACTGGAATGTGTGATATGGCATTGATACTCATCATATATTTATATACTACAAAGCAGCCTACGACTCTCTGAATAAAAGAGAAATGTTCAAAGCAGTGAAAGAGCTAGGAATACCAAATCAATTTGGTATCCTATGGATACCAATCTGTGGAGCAATGAATGACAATGGAGTGTGGAGAAGAAGATACAACTTCGAACATTATAGAACATACCAGGAACCTGATATCTTAAAAGATATTAAATGTTTTATTTAAATTCTCGAGGAGGCTAGGACCCACGCATTGTTGTTAAGCTAGAATGATGATGATGATACCAACGCTATTTTATTGTGAATATTTTTTAGACCTGCTTTTTTAGAACTGCTGCAGACAGAGTAAAATGGGCCGTGATGATCGCCAATGTCCCTAATGGATGAGACACACGAAGAAAATTTTATGTCTATGTATTTATGTTTATATTTATTTTTATATCAAATGTAAACTTCGATTTTTGTCTTACTAATAAGTGATACGACGTATCTAGATTGCCTAATTCCCCCATTTATCATATTATGTTACGAAATATCTACGCACACCAACTATGCCGGCAAATTTATTGCAACAAACGCGTTAATTCTACTTCTCACCCCTATTTTTAACCCTATTACGATGGGGTGTACTTCTTCTATACTTAAACTTCTTGTACATCACCCCCCTACATCCCCAGAGGCTTCTTCTACGGCCTCAACGCCGCATACTAGCCATCCAACTGGCCGCCATCTTTGATACCAGATTCCCATATCTCCTCTACTTCGGACTTATGGATGCGACACGTCTGCTGTACATCAGACAAATACCCTTTGATATTATCAAAATAATAAAGAACATATATACGCAAGAAACCGAACCGAACCGAAAAAGTTCAAACAGAAGACTTTAGTAAAGTCAAAAGGGTCGATTGATTTCTCAACTAGAATCAGACAAGGAGATGCATTGGGCCAACTTATATTTAATTATATTAGACAAGGTTTTAAAAAAGAAGTAAAAGCCAAAAAGAATATCAAATATATTATCGGATATTGGAAGTTGATTTATGGCTTTTTATTTATATATTGTTGTAATCTCACTTGTTCTCATTAACATTAACTACAGTTTCTGCTTCTCCATTCGTCTAGCATTTGCCCCACTTCCATAAATCTATTAAATAAATCTATTAGCCAACTTGTTCCTGCCTCTGCTAAAGATATCCACACTCCTTAAGAATATCATCTTCTGGTCCAATAGCTTTCATCATCATGCAACCTCTTCTGTCCACTGCTGGACATAGGTCTTTCCCATTTTTCGCCACTCTTAACGGTTCTGTGCGTCTTGTTGCCATTTCTTGGATATTCGTTTAATGTCGTCCAACCAGCGTGTTGGTGGTCGGCCTTTGCTGCGTTTGTCTTCTCTTGGGCGCCAGTAAATTAGTTTTCTGGTCTACCTTGAGTCTTTTAGTCTCGCTATGTGATCTGCTCCTATGTGATTTACACGTGGAATGTGCGGACACTTTATGAACCTGGAAATCTTAAAAAATTAATAGACATACTAACTCAATATAAAGCACACATTACTGCTGTGCAAGAAGTAAGATGGACTGGCCAAGGAATTATCCAAAAGAGACAATGCGATATATATTACAGCTGTCACAAGAATAATCACGAATTCGGGACCGCATTCATTGTTAACAAAAAAGTAAAACATCTTATTATGGACTTCAAACCAATAAGTCCAAGAATATGTTACCTAAGAATAAGAGGTAAGTTTTTTAACATCAGTCTCATAAATGTACATGCCCCAACCGAAGACAAAGAAGAGGATGTCAAAGATCAATTCTATGAGGAAGTAGAGACCATCTACGATAGATGTCCCAGAAACGACATCAAGATCATAATTGGAGATCTTAATGCAAAATAGGGAAAGAAAATATATATAGTCCATACATCGGAAAATGCAGCGCTCATGACGTCACCAACGACAATGGAAATAGAATAATAGGATTTGCAGCATCCAAGGGCATGGTCGTGGGAAGTACCTACTTCCCCCATAAGAATATTCATAAAGTAACATGGACGTCGCCTGATGGTACAACCAAAAATCAAATAGATCACATCCTAATAGAAACCAGGCACTTCTCTAATCTAATGGATGTACGTACTTATCGTGGAGCTAATATAGATTCAGACCACTTCTTAGTAGGCGCAAAAATAAGAGCAAGAATCTCAAATGCAAAAAAAGAAAAGGGTAAGAAAAGTACTCGATACAATTTAAAACTCTTGAAAGAGCCCCGTGTACTAGAAAGGTATCAAAATTACCTTGAACATGAAAGCACAACAGATGAGAATTTAACAGCTAGCGAGCAATGGGATATATGTAAAAGAACAATTAAGGAAGCGGCAAACAACGTCCTAGGACCAGAAGAATCCACTCCACGCAACAGTTGGTTCGACGATGAATGTGAAGATATCACTAAAAGAAAAAATTATGCATATAAACTTATGCAACAAAGAAGAACACGGGATAAGGAGCAAATGTACAAAGATCTTAGGAAGGAGGAAAAACGCATACATCGAAGGAAAAAGCGGACCTTCGAAAACCAGATTATGCAAGAGCTTCAATCATTAAAGGGGCAAAATGAAACTAGAAAGTTCTATAATATCCTAAATAAGACAAGAAAAGAATTTAAACCACGGCTGACGATGTGTAGAGACAAAAATGGACATATAGTCAGTACCGCTGACGCAGTACAAAGCAGATGGGTTGAGCACTTCAAAGAACTACTTGGTACCGAAGTGGAAAATGATGCGTCACCCCAAAGACCAAGAAATAACACTCACGTAGAACCTCCTTCAATATTTGAAGTGAAAGACGCAATCACACGACTCAAAAATAGCAAGTCCCCAGGAGTGGATTGTATCCCCGCAGAGCTCATCAAACATGGAGGTAACAGCATTATGCACCAAATTCACAACATAATAGTCAAAGTCTGGGAAGAAGAACAAATGCCAGAGGAATGGTGCACTGGAATCATATGTCCACTACACAAAAAGGGAGATTTGTTGGAATGTAAAAATTATAGGGGTATAACTCTTCTGAATACAATATACAAAATATTCTCCAACACCCTGTACAGCCGTTTAAGTACGTACGTGGAAGAAATCCTTGGTGAGTATCAAAGCGGTTTTAGGCCAGGTAGGTCAACAATTGACCAGATTTTTGTGCTACGTCAAATCTTAGAAAAAACCAATGAATTTAATATTGACACGTTCCATCTCTTTGTGGACTTTAAGTCAGCGTATGATAGCGTCCTAAGAGGTAAATTATACGAAGCCATGAATGAACTTAACATTCCCCATAAATTAATAAGGCTCGTAAAAACAACTATGAGTAAAGTGATCTGCAGAGTGCAAATACAAGGCGATATGTCACAAGCGTTTGAAACATATGCAGGGTTACGGCAGGGAGACGCGCTGGCGTGCCTTCTCTTTAATATAGCGTTAGAAAAGACTATAAGAGATGCCGAGTTACACAATAGGGGAACAATCTTTAATAAATCAACGCAGATTATGGCGTACGCTGACGATTTGGATTTGATTGCACGTACTACACGAGGACTTAAAGAGATGACTTCCACCTTCTTGACAGCCGCACAAAATATGGGCCTTAAAATAAACGAGGAAAAAACCAAAATGCTAGCATCTATTCCAAATAACAGAGATAGAGCTAGAAACGCCGAACAAAACTTCAGTATAGACCAATATAATTTTGAGGTAGTAAATAAGTTTACATATTTGGGTTCTCTCATA